CTGCAAACATGTACAAGAAATATAAGGACAACAGAAAAGGACCAATAAGGGTAAGAATAATATAGAGATATGCCAAGCATCAAATAATGTGAAATTTGACTCAGTGGTAATTATTATATTTTATTTTGTTTTCACAAAAAGGTTTTGTATTAATTACATCAAATATTATTTTGGCCAAAAAGTGTTTGGGAGTTTGTTTTGTGGGTTTTGCTATTCTCTGGGCTATTTTAGTATTGTTGTTGTTGTTATGTGCCATCAAGTCGCTTGCGACTCATAGCTACCCTATGTACAAGAGCTCTAAATGCTGTTCTATCCTGTGCCAACCTATCCATCTCAAACACACTTATCCCCACCGCTCCAGTCACAGAATTGATCCATCTCACCAAAGGTCTTCCTCTCCTTTGCTTCCCCTCCACTCTGCCAAACATGATGTCCCTCTCCAAGGGCCTCCTTGCAACATGCCCAAAGTATGTCAGACGAAGCTTCAGGATCCTTGACTCCAGGGAACACTCTGGCTTCACCCTCTCCAGGACAAACCTGCTTGTTCTCCTAACAGTCCATGGTATATTCAACACTCTTCTCCAGCACCACAGCTCAAAGGCATCAATCCTATTTCTATCAGCCCTATTCACTGTCCAACTCTCTGATGCATAGCACATAATTGCGAAGACTATACCCCGGATCAGGTGCACCTTAGTCTGCAGCCTGACATCGTTGCTCTTCAGTACTCTTGAGAGGTCCCTCACAGCTGACTTTCCCAATGCAATTCATCTCCTGATTTCCTGGCTGCTGTTACCAAGAGCGTTGACTGTGGAGCCAAGTAAATTAAAACTGTTAACTACCTCAATCTCCTCACCATCCATGCTGATGCTGCCAATTGGCCCAGTGGTGAGAATCGTTGTTTTCTTGACATTTAGCTTCAGTCTATATAGGAGGCTGTAGTTCTTGATCTTCTGCAGCAAGCGCCTCAAGTCCTCCTCAGTTTCAGCAAGCAGGGTTGTGTTATGTTTTAATTATAAAAGAATTTTAGTGGGATGCTTTTGTTATGGACTACTTGTTAGCATGTAAGAAACATCCACAACTACATATAATCCTAACATTAGTCTTTATTTTACCTTGAATATTTTTCTACATATATGGAAAATTTGAATGCTTTACTAAGGCTATGGGTTTGTGGGGATTTTTTTTTAAATATTTGTCTGTAATCTCAGACTTCAAATGAATACAGAAGATCTAGGAATTGCCGGGTTTTAATTATTTTTGTTTTTTTAAAAGATGAATACACAAAGTGTTTTTAAATATTTAAAATAATATGTATTTAATGTTTTGATAATATTGTTGTTATGTTCCATCAAATCTCCCGTAACTCATAGGAACCCTACGTACAAAAGCTCTGAAGCCTGCCCTATCCTGAGCCAGTCTCACTGAGTCTGATACCCTTACAGCCATTACCCTAGTTTCTGTATCAATATGTCTCATCTACGGTCTTCCTGTCCTGCACTGTCCATCCACCCTTCTGAGCATAATGTCCTTCTTAAAGGATTGGTCCCTCCTGGCCACATGCCTAAAGTATATGAGACAGAGCTTCAAAATCCTGGCTTCCAAGGAGAAACTTGGTTTTACCCTCTCTAAGACGTACCTACTTGGTTTCTGACAGTCCGTGGTATGTTTAAGACTCTCTTTCAGCACTACAACCCAAAAGCATCAATTCTTCTTCTATCCTCCTTAGTTATTATCTGATGCATAGAAAGTAATTGCTAAGACTATGGACTGGACCTTATTCTCTAAACTGACATCGCTACTTCTCGGTACTCTGGAGAGGTCTCTGCCAGCAGATACACCTAATGCATTTGGCTTTTTGATTTCCAAACAGCTGGTTTCAAAAGTGTTGATTTTGAAGCTGAGCAAGCGTCAAATATTAACAACCTTAATCCCTTCTCCATCCACCATGATGTTGCCAGTTGACCCAGTGGTGAGAATTTTTGTCTTCTTGATGTTAGTTTCAGCAAACAAGGTTTTGTCATAATGAAGGTTGTTGATGAGTCTTCCTCCAATTCTGATGCCACATTTTTCCTCATAAATCTCAGCCTCCTAAATGATCTGTTGTGCATATAGATTGAAAAGCTATGGAGACAGGACACATATCTGATGTACTCCCTTCCTGATTTTGAATCATGCAGTATTTCTGTGTCCTGTTCTGAGGACTGCTTCCTGGTCCAAGTGTAGGTTTCACATAAGCACAATCAAGGGTTCTGGGACTCCCATTCTTCTCAAGGTTAACCACAAATTGTTATCTACACAGTCAAATTCCTTTCCATAGTCAATGAAACATAAATAGATATCCCTCTGGTACTCCTTGCTTTCTGCCAAGATCCATCTGACATTGGCGATAATGTCTCTAGTGCCACAGCCTCTTCTAAACCCAGCTTGTATTTCTGGTATTACTCTATCAATATACTGTTCCAGTCACTTCTAAATAATCTTCAGCAGAATTTTACGTACTTGTTTAATTTAAAACATATATGCACCCTCACAAACAAGATTCCTCACCAAAAAAATATATACATGGTTAGTTATCAAAACACTTTTCATTTAAAAGCTAAATATAGTAGTTACATATGATCCAGCTATTCCCCTGCTTGACATATACCCAGAGAAAATGAGAACTGAGGAACAAATGAAGGCTTGTACACCAATGTTAATAGCAGTGTTATTCACCATTACAAGAACAAGGGAACAGCCCAAATGTCAACCAAAATTAAATGGATTAAGAAATTATGACACATTCACACAATGGAATACTATGCAGCATGTAAAAGCAGAAATTTTTTTAAGTTTTATTTTATTAATTTTAATGAACATTTACAGAGATTTTTTTATTTCCATTCATTCATTGTTGCACTTTTCTCCCTGTCCACCCCTATTCCCACAGTTCGCTCCTCTCCTTGAAAAGTAAAAGACAAATTCCTTCATTGGTATACAATCCCCTGCCCCTCCCCCCCAGTACACTCCATTGTACAACCTTAATTCTGGACTCTTGTGTTAACCATAATACCTCATCATACATCGCTTTTAAACCATTCTTTCCCATATCTGTTTCAATGCAGTATACATAATTTATCCAGTTTTTCTCCATCTTACCCCAACCCCAAAGTCAGTACCAGTCTACAACAGTGGCGCTATGCAGTATTTGGCAAGGGCAATGATTTTGTAAATTACTACTCAAATTTAGAGGGATTGGAGAGCATTATGAAAAGTGAGCTAACTTAGTCCCATAAGGACAAATATTGTATAATATCATTATTGTAGAACAAGTATGAATATTAAAAGGGGAAGAGAGCAGAGGAGTAGGATAGGCCAGGGATGGGGTGATTCCTCATAGAATTGTACCATTTGATGGGTGGAGGGGTGACTGAAGTCAATAGGAATGATCTGGTGCAAAAAGCAATGTATATGAACTTTGCAAATAAACCAGTATATTAAAAACAAACAATAATAGGTGTGTCGGGTTTTTTGTTTGTCTTTTTTTAAAAGAAAAAAGATAAAAAACCAAAACCTTGGGGGGAAAACCCTTTTGGTTTGAGTTTAACCAACCTTTAGTTGCAATGAAATAAATGATATGATCTATTTCTATAAAGAGTATAGCTTAATATACCATATGTGATATTTCTACAATGTAATACATGGGGTCACCATGAGTTGAAGTTGACTCAATGACATAGTCAACAACAAAAGCAAAAATAATAACCCACATATACACTGATCTACAGTGGATTTTACTGCATGAAAGAAAAATAATTTCAGTTTTTAATTGGAAAAATGTCACATGAATCTCCAAATCAATTTCTTATCTTTTCTTCATCACAACAACCATCACAAAAACTTGCATATATAATACCATAAAATAAATGTATCAAGATAATTTAGATATGGATAGTCTCAACCTATTAAGGATTAGAGCTTCAGAAGGCTGCTGGAAGGTGTGGTGTTAGCCTAAAAGTTTACTTTTTAAATTCATTGCAGTTAATCCCCTCTGGTCTCCAGCTACCTTAACTGCAAACACATAATAATGGAAATTAGCATGATCTTGCAAATAATCAACACTGTGAGACTAAGGTAAGAGAAAAAGTTCTTCCCATAATATGTAGAAGATTTGAGGTGAGCAAGACTTGAAGCAGACAGACTTCAGGGAGACTGGAACAAGACACTCCTGAGAGTGTGATCCTGATGATGTGATCCTGATGACTGTGGTTGAGAGATTTGTGGCATTGCTATAGAGAAATTGTCACAAAGTGTTCTCTGAGGCTTTGTGCATTTGTGCTAGCCACAGTTAAAGATTTTGCTGCTCTTTCCTTTGATGACGGAAGGAGAAGTTGCTTGCTGAACTGAAATTTGAGGCTGGATTAACTGAAGAATTGTGCCTCGTGACTTTTGGAATAAAATCTGGATTTTTCATTGCGTGATTTTACTTTTCTCCCTTGCTTTCCAATTTACTAATAAATCCCATTCTCTGAATTGACTGTGAGTCAACAATGATAAATCTCTTGCTGCTGGTGTGGTTCTAGAGTCACCATGGGCTGGGCTATAGTCCCTTTATCTGCTTTTTGTCTCTTGGGTGGTGAGAGGCTATGTTATTTTCACTCTTTTTGGCCTTTTCAGAGAGACACTTACAGCACTGTAACACCATGTCCCATTTCCTGCTCCTTAGGCAAAAGGTAACCATGAATCAGAACTCTATTTGATAGCAGTTGTCTTGGGTTTTGGTTATGTAGCTAATTGTTATTTAGTGTTATATTCTATTTATCTTAGATCTAATTTCAAATTTTACCTGTATTACTTTTATTATTGTAAATTTGACTAAATTCTAAATGTCTTATGGTTAAAGAATTGCTGTATTTATAAATTTCTTATATATAAAAGTTGGTGACGCTTAATAAAGTCTGATTTAGTGAGTTCTCATATAGACATTCTGTATATAAAATAAAATTGCTTTCAGGTTTTTATAATATGAATGGAATCATTGCTGATTTTCTGTTCATACAAGAACTGAATTTCTTCACATAAATCTTATGTTTCTTTTTTGCCCACAAATACATCTGGATACTCATCAGAAATGTAAAAATCCCAACTAGAAGAAAAAAGAAATAGTTATATTTTTCTTTCTTAATTCTTTGATTTATAAAGTATATTAGAACACATATTTGTCAAAGAGTATATTATTTATTATCAATTTTACTTACACTTACACATTTTCTAGCATTATATATTTGATAAGTAACTATTTTATAAATAATGAAACTGAAAATAGCTGAGTTCAAAATAAATTAAAAATTTAAAAATATATCTGAAATTTTCAAAATAATCTCAAGTATAGAATTTACTTTGTTGCTTTAAATTTTCAATAATAGTTTCATAAGCATATAATAACATCCTACATAAAATTAAATATATGCTTATGTTATATAAGTCACATTAATTGTTATTACTTTATTTATATTATGCTATATTGCTCAATTTTACCTTTTTAGACAATTATGGACATTCTAAAGCACATTGAATCCATGCTCTTGCACACACTAACAGCATTTCAAGAAAATTTTGTTTCCCATGTCCGCAATTTATTTTTATTTTATTATTTTATGTGTGTGTACCATCAAATCGGATCTGACTGGCACAGGAGGAGATTGCCCTACTTCTCCAGCAGAGTATCTGGTGGATTCGAACTGCCATGTTCACATTTTAATAAGTATATTTGTACAACAACAACAACAACAACAACATTTCCTACATTAGATTATGAAGGAATTATGCAGAGAAAATCACAAAATTGGTGAGGCTAAAATATTTTTATATTGCTAATTTTTAAAAATAAACATAAATAGTAAAACACAAATTTAAGTGCTTGTAATTTTAGAATACTAGCAACTTGTCTGCAAAAACAATTTCTTAAACTACACATTTACTTTGACTAACCAATAATTACTAATTATCAATAGGGAACTCTGGTGGTCAAAAGAGTAGAGTTGCACTGCTAATCCATAGATGGTGCTTCAAATCCACCAGTGACTCAGAGAGAAAGACTATATTCTCCTCTGAAATATGCTGTAGGGTCAGCTATATTAGTCGATTGCAATGTGAAGTCAATGGGCTTTATTTTGTTTGTGTTTTAATATTATTTAATAAGGAACTCTGGTGTCCAATGGGGTAAAGTGTTGAACTGGAAAGCTAATCCCAGTCAGTGTGAATCCACCAGCTGCTCCCCAGGAGCAAGATAAACAATATCTTCCTGTGATATTTACAGCATCTGAACACCTGATGGAGTGTGAGTTATGATGTCAATTGAATTGAATTAACCAGACACTTACCTGGCAATGTTTGAGTCATAATGGTGAAACTAACCCAAGAGCCAACCTGTTAGAGTGAAATAAAAATAGTTAACCTTATATGCTTTGTTCACTTGTAAGATTTAATTCGTAACTTGGAAGTAAAAGGATAGTCAATAAACTATATGTAGTAGTTGTAGTAATAAATTTCAATAGTCAGTACATTGATAAGTATGATAGTCTAACAAAATACTATTAGATACATAAACAAACAAAGATATTTTCCTCTAAAAAAAAGAACATATTTAAAGTCCTGAGACAAAAAATACCTTTAAAATACTAATTAATTTTGTATAATTATTTAATGAGAGAAATATTATGGATAAAATGGATCAGTCTTCTTCTATACTTGAAACATGAATTTAAAAATTCTATTATAATCTAAATGCTTGAAGATGTCCATAGTTACATAGTTATATATATCTTTTATTCTCATGTTAAGTAACCTATAATATATTTGAACAAAAACAGCTTGTGTTTAGACATCGAATCAATTTTCTTTTCTTTACTAACATAGCCTACCTCATAGGTATAGTTAGGACATGAAACCAGGGTAAACATCCATGTGAAGGGGTTATAAGTTGGACTTGGGAAACGGGCATTATTTCCTTATAAGGAGAAACAAACAAAAAAAGGCATATATGTCACATATTACAAAGTTGAGCACATACTTAGCATGTAATATTATATTCTATAGTATAACTACCATATGAAATGTCATCCTATAGTTAATCAATATATTTTACAAAATATATACTTAATTTCAAATGCCATGCTCTTTGGCTATAGTGAGCTACCTGTAATTTCTGAATACACCTGTAAGTATGATGCTGTAAAATTATTAAACAATGATAGTCATTTCTTAAAGTATTTATCAACATATAAAAAGCTCAACATCAGAAAACAAAGAATCTCACCACTGGGCCAACGGCAGAAACATGATAAATGGTGAAGAGACTTAGATTGTGAACAGCTTTCTTTGCTTGGCTCCACATTCAGCACTCTTGATACCAACAGCCAGAAAATTAAAAAACAAATTGCACTGGCAAAGTCAGAGACCTCTCCAAAGTACTGAAGAGCAAGGATATCAGTCTGAAGATTAAGATGTACCTGATCCAGGCCATAATCTTTGTAATTACTTGCTATGCATCAGAAAGCTGGACTTTAAAGAAGGAGAATTGATGCCTTTGAGCTCTGATGTTGGATAAGAATATTGAATATACCACAGACTGCTAAGAGAACAAACAGATTCGTCCTAGAAAGGGTGAGGCCAGGGTGTTCCTTGGAGGCAAGGATTCTGAAGCTTCGTTTGATATTGGACATGTTGCAAGAAGTCCTTGGAAAGGGATGTCTTGCTTCGGAGAGTGGAGGGACAGTGTAAGAGAGCAAGACCCTTGATGAGATGGATTGATTCAGTGACTTGGGTAATGGGGGTAGGTTTGTCAGAGACAGTAATATTGTCACAGCATAGAGTAGGATTTAGGGCTGTTGTACCAAGGGTCCTTAGGAGTTGCAGGCAACTCAAGGGCACATAACAACAATAAACATACAATTGTTTGTTTATGAAATACTTAAAGCAAACTACTTAGTGAGATTATAAATTTTTCACAACAATATATAGCTTCATATTTTTCTTTCATATCAAGAATATGCATTTATTTGAAGTCATTCTAAAACTCAAAATTATTTTTATATTAAATTAATGAAAACCCAAAGGAAATTTACTTCAGAAAAATGTGAAAATCTTTCACAAGAAGATTTATACAGAATATTAGTTCAGTTAATGTTCAGAAATATCACAAATTATTTCTGCTTTGCAACGAGAACTTTGATTTACAATTCTCATTATATTTAGCATATTGTCACTTAACTTTCTAGCTGATTTTCCTTTTTTATTTTCTCAAGAATAATTTTAGAAAACAAATATATAAAGATTTTAATTTGAACTTTGAGCTGGGACATTTGTAAATTTGATTTCTAAAATTACTGTTTCAGTATCTCTAGCAAGATTTAATCAAGTAATATATTTTACTTATCATTTTAAAGGCATAATATGTCTGTACGCTGTTTGAAAAATTGTGCTGTAATACTAAAGCAAAAATATATCAAGAAGGGGAAAAAGGAAGAAGAAACAACGTTTCTATGATTTCAGAACTTAAGTACTCCTAATTTTAAAGTATAGATAAATATGTTACTATGCATTATTAAAGAGTTCTGGAAGCATAGTCTGTAGGGAGTTTCACTTCAAACCCAAAAAGACAGTGTCAGTCCAGCATGTCAATTTGTCAAAGCCAATCTCCTCCTATGCAATCTATAGCTTCTGAAACCCCACTGAAGCTAAGAGTTGGCATTGCCATCTTAAATATAATGAATTTGAGTTTATTCTATTATTTGTTATTTTGTTAAAATTTATCTTGGTGTAATATTCATATTTCATCAAAGGTAATACAGATGGAAAACTTAGTCATTATTATTTAATTTCAGTATTGAAAATATGTGGAACATAATCTGATTAGGATCTTCAACTTCATTCAGTCCTTGAATGGCAGCATCTTCAAGGTTCCTTGATCTACATTTCTAGTTAAATAAGTAATGTATCTTTGACCTAGAAAAAGACATACTCCAATTTCAAGTATGGGTACCTATTTCAAGTAAGTTGTTGTTAGGAGTTATAGAGCCAACAACCCCTTGTGTTATCATATGTACTAAAGAACAAAGTCCTCACTCATCCTTTGCTGTATTCACAATTTCTGCTGTGATTAAGCTCATCTTCCAGTTACAGTGTAAATCAACTCCCTGAAGATCTTTCTCTCTTTCATTGACCCTATTTCAGAGCTATGTCTTTTTCCAAGGACTGGTTCTTTCTAAAGAATATGTCTAAAATATTTGTGACAATTGTAGTGGCATGGGGCACAATTTATTGTGCTACCTGAAAGGTTTACAGTTAAAATTCACCATTGCCTTTGTGGGCAATCTCCTACCATAATGATTTATAGCCTCAGAAACCTGATTGTTGTTATTGTGTACTGTAGAGTAGGAACCAACCCACATCTCACCATCTGGTGGATTTTCAGAGGTTGTTAATCACATGGGAGGATATTGCCCATCCTTCTTCAGAAGAGCAACTGGTGGTCTTGAAACACTTGCCTTTGGGATTGCAGCACAATTTCTACCATTAGGCCATCAGAGCTTCCTAGAGACATCTAATAGACTGTTTAAATTTAATCCCCTTGATGGCAATGAATATGACCAATGTACAAAACACAGTAGCATTTTATTTTCTAGGGTTTTTTTTTTCCATAAAGAAAAAACACAGATCTTTCAAAGTAATATTGTAGTTGGTTTAAATAATCAGATGGTAAGGTTTGGTCATTGACTTCAACAAACTTCAAATATTTATCACAAAGTTATGCAATAATCATATTGTTATGCAATAAACATATTGTAGGGTTTGTTTTTAATAGATTGGTTATATTCTAAGTTTAATTTGGATTTTTAAAAAATATGCATATATAATTGAAGTGAAAAGTTAATCTAGGGGTGCAACACCCATCAGCTTTGAGGCCCTCACAGACTCAGTAGAGAGGGAGTGGTTTTGGATGCAGGACACACCTCTGGCCCTTTGACCCCAGCCCAACAGGTACCAAGTCTATGAATTTTCTCCCCCCAAACACACACTCCAGAAGTTTGACTTTGGCCCTCAGGCCAGGAATTAAAAACAAACAAACAAACAAACAAAAACAAACATAGACCAAATTATAGGATTTATCAACCTTCCCTGAAAAAGTTGTCTAACATTGAAGATTCTTTAGACTACAAACTGCTGTCTGGACAAACCACATTGGTCCCACTAACTCAAGCAACAGGGAGGTCCTGGACATCTCAACAGAGGAGCAGTGACATCAAATCAAGACCCAGTAATCACCTCAGTTTTCAAAAACTTTTCCACATCAATGTTTCAAAAGAAGCAAGGTACCTCACTCACCATGCAAGCCCAAAACAAGATATCTCCCCCAAAGAATGCCACAGTAGCAATGGATTCCCTGAAGCCAGAAAGTCTGATAGAACTTTGTGATAAAGAGTTTAAATAAAAATGATAGCATATTTACAATGGATGAAAAACAAACTTGAAGAAGTACAGGACACTACAATAAAAAATCAGGAGGAGCTTAAAAAAAATCTTAAACAACACAGAGAAAACAAACGAGGCATTAGAGGCACTGGAAAAACAAGAAACCATGATCGAAAACATGAAATCTAAGGTTGCTGATGCTGTCAACATGATGGAGGGACACACAAATAAAGGTGAAGAGATGGAAAGAAGAATCAGTTAAATAGAAGATAGAATTGCCACCACAAATCTGACTGAGAAAAAAGCAGAATCAAAAAAGAAGGAAACAGAAAAAAACTTAATAATAATGTGGAGATACCATTAAAAGAAATAACATTCACATCATTGGAATCCCAGAACAGGAAGAAGCAAGTAAAGGCACTGAAAAAGTTGTGGAAGAATTACTAGAGGAAAACTTCCCAGGCATAATGAAGAGTGACAGAATGTATAATAAAGAAGCTGAGCGAATACCATACAGAACAGACCCTAAAAGAAAAACACCAAGGCATATCATTGTCAAATTTGCTAGATCCAAAGATAAGGAGAGAATACTGAAAGAAATGAGAGAGAAACAAAGAGTAACCTATAAGGGAGAACAGATCAGATTAAGTGCTGATTTCTCAGCAGAAACCATGCGAGCAAGAAATCAATGGAATGGCATATATTGAACACTGAAAGAACACAACTGTCAACCAAGAATACTGTACCCAGCAAAACTGTACATCAAATATGAAGGAGAGATAAAAATATTCCCAGAAATACAGAACCTACGGGAGTTCACTAAAACAAGACCAGCCTTACAGGAAACACTAAGAGACGTCCTTCATACAGAGATGCCACAGAAAACAGGATGGACCAAAGTAACTAGCAACACCACCAAAACGTATTGAACAAAATGATAGCAATAAAACCCTACCTCTCAATAATTATACCGAATGTGAATGGTTTAACTATAACACTGAAGAGAAAAAAAAGTAGCAGATTATATAAAAAAACAAAATCCATCAATATGTTGTCTACAAGAGACACATCTGAAAAATGAAGACAAAGAAAGACTAAAAACAAAAGGATGGGGAAAAATATACCAAGTAAATGTTGTTGTTGTTGTTATGTGCCGTCAAGGCATTTGCGACTCATAGCAACCCTATGTACAACAGCCCTAAACCGTGCTCTATGCTGTGCCAATCTCATTGCCTCTGACACACCCATCCTCATTACCCCAGTCACTGACTCAATCCACCTCATAGAAGAGGGTCTTTCCCTCCTGCGCTGTCCCTCTACTCTACCAAGCATGATGTCCCTCTCTATAGACCTGTCTCTCCTTACAACATGTCCAAAGTATGTCAGATGAAGCCCCAGAATCCTTGCCTCCAAGGCACAGCCTGGTTTAACCCTCTCTAGGATGAATCTGTTTGTTTTCTTGGCAGTCTATAGTACATTCAATACTCTTCTCCAGCACCACAGCTCAAAGGCATCAATTCTCCTTCTATCCTCCCT